GCCGTGTGAGGCATTTTTTATTACGGATGGATGAGCTTTATTTAACTTCTTTTGGACTGATGCATGCAACACCCGCTGACTGCCATTAAACAGCTTGGAAGATCAAAGTCAATTTTTAATATAACTCCGACTGGATTCATCTGAACGAAGGAAGTCATATACGCCTAGGATGGCTTGAGGGTGAGTAAATAATGGGCTAATTTTCATTTTTGGGTGAACTAACCCTTTAAGTGATAGAAATTAATGGTTATCAATACTTATTGTCATAAATGTTACACTAAATATTTTTATAAGGCTACTTATTTTTCATAATTTAATGCATGACACATTGTAAAAATGAAGGCAAAATTTGGACCTGGTTGGTCCTGTGATCTCAACATGTCTGCACACATGGGGCGACCTGATCTATGTCAAACAAAATCACTTTAATCAGGCAACTCATACAGTATTTTTAAAAAAATATCATTTATTTCTGAAAAGTGAAACATTTCAATAAGGAAAAAATGAATGAGTTCACATTTAAGAATACAAACCAACCTGCTTGTTCCTCAGCATATTCTTGTTTCACTCTGAAATCCTCTTCAATCCTCATGTCTTCACTTTCCACTTTAATAAACGCCATCTTTATAATAGTACGTCAACTGGAGTTGTTCTGTGTGTTTGGACACAAACTGTGTGTTTAAGATGACATTGCTTAACAGGAAGAAAAATAAACCCAAATGAAATCTTTGGATGCCTCTCAATCAGCTCCCTAGTTCAGCAGTCAGCGCACTGGCCAGGGAGGTCAGTCAGAGTAACAGTTAATATTCTTAAATGGTCTGAATAGCCAAGCCCTTCCAAAAAAATAGCACATCAAATTATACAGACACTTCATATTTAGTTAAGTGGTAGTTAATGATTTGTAGATCAATTTATAAGATTACAACTTCATGAAAACATTTGCAATTTGTTCAAATTTGTCAGTACACATTGTAAAAGTTTAATTTACACAATTTTGAGCAGCAGCTCAAATGTTTTGCAAATCGCTTTTAAAAAAAGTGAATAATTTTGCTAAGCAATTCATTGAATTGACTTTTTCAAAACGTTCTGGTGTTGTGGTTAACCTGGGGGCTGTTTCATAAAACAAGTTTACCAAAAAAGCCAGGCTTATTTCAGTTAGTCTGACTTAGGGTGCTTTCACACCTGTAGATCGATTGCTTTGTAGATCGATTGCTTTGTTCCGAAACAGGGATTCAGATTATTACAATGTTGCTTTTTATTCTTGGTGCGGTTCGCTTTCACACGGCAAAGTTTCTAAACGGACCAAATTTGTTAATACAAGTCATGCGTGAGTAAACTGTTCTCTCATTGGTCAAAGTTCCACGGGTTATTTTCCGGGATTCCACTTAGCTGTCACGGCTGTCATCCGTCAGGATGCAACGACATCAGTTTGTGATGTCATTATATTAATTTATCACTTTGAGCAGGAGTCCAAGATTCATGGGTAAAACATTTTTAAAATGCACATACTAGGAAGAAGAGCAATAAGACGGCATTTTAAATGGCGAAGACGTGCTCACCCACAGACATTCACTGGTTAATTTTGAAGTATTAGCAAAACAACAAAGCTAATGCTTTTCACGGAACTTACGTAATTACCCATCATACATTGTGTTGTCAGTTGATTTGGTTCAAAATAAATTAGACGAACTGAAATAAGCCTGGCTTTTTTGGTAAACTTGTTTTATGAAACAGCCCCCTGGTGTCCATGTTCAGTTGTTATTTCACCTGCAGATAATAATTTTTTTTATCACATATTCTTCAATTTCTAAAAACCTGTGCAACATGTTCATTCAAAATTTAACTTTATCACTACATGATTTTGGTATTATTGTGTTTTTCCTCTGCATATTATTTTTAACAACATCAGTTTTCCACAATATTTCTTGAATGCAGACAATCAAATAAAAAATGAAAAAATCACTGATGTACTTATTTTGTCTTCTGGGAAACATGTAAGTATTAGCTTCTTGAAGGGCAGTGCTAAATGAAAAAAAAGTTTGCACCCCCTGGTCTTAATGCATTGCATTTCGTTCTTGAACATCAGCAAATGTTTTCACCTTTTGTAATAGTTGTGTTTGAGTCCCTCAAGTTGTCCTTACTGTGAAAAGATGGATCTCAAAATCATACAGTCATTGTTGGAAAGGTGTTAAATATGCATGAGATGCTGGAAAACCTGAGAATGTGCAAGACCTGGAGGACTTTTCTGAAGAATATTGGACAGTTGAACTGCTCAGGACTCTTGAACAACTATCACAAAACATGAAAACAGTTGTGGATCCAGGTAAAGACAGACAAGTTCAGATTCAACGTATGTAAATCTGTATGTTAAGATTTGAATGGGGCAGTTTTTATAAATTCAGTTTTTTTTTTGTCTTGTGGAGTATATGTAAACATCTGTTATGAGAAATAGCTTATTCAGGACAATACGAAATAAAAATAACATGACATTTTTATGATCCCTCTTTTGTTCAAATTTAAATATCTTTGCTTATTCTGCAAACTTAGTCAGAGAATCACCAATTGCTGTTTACATTAATTGTCCATTACAGTTTACATTAATGTATAAATGAAGAAAAAAACATTCAAATTCAAAGTAACCACTTTCGTAATCTAAAAAAAAAAAAAGCTTTTTGGATGTAACTGTAATTTGATTACCACCTATTTAAAGGGGTCATATGATGCGATTTCAATTTTTCCTTTCTCGTTTGAGTGTTACAAGCTCTTGGTGCATAAAGAATGCAGGCAACACAGTATGGTAAGGGACGTAACATTTCCGTCACACGCTTGAGGTATTCGGCCAATCACAACGCACTGGATAGCTGGCCAATCAGAGCACACCTCGCTTTTTCAGACCGATGAGCTTTGTAAAAATCGACGCGTTTCAGAAAGGCGGGGCATAGAGGAAAAACAATAATGTACAGTATGTGGAAAATAATGTGTTTTTTGAACCTTAAACCGCATAAACACATTTCATTACACCAAATACACAAAATACTGTTCTTTTTAGCAGCATCATATGACCCCTTTAAAATTTGAAACAGTCACTCATATTTTGAAATTTAAATTACGTAACTAAGTTACACGTATTCAGTAATTCCCCAACCCTAATGATGAGTTCTGCATTGTTTCATTACTGTACGTCACTGACTCATATTAACAAGCATGCTTGTATTAGCAAGTGAGCATGAGCCACATTTGATTACATTTTATTAAACTTAAATGATATTTTCTCATCAAAAATCTTCTCCTGCAAATATTATGTCACATACTAGCCTACTTCATAAATTAATTATGTGGTTTGCTACATTAAAGCACATGGAAGAAAAAAAAACTTTAATATTGTAATTTTAAGGAAATGGGTATAATATTGTATGACACGTTATCTTGCTGTTATACAGCCACGCAATAATAAAATATCCAGTTAAATGATTAGTTGCATGCAGCTTCTCATATTTTCGAAATTAATAAATACGCGGCCGATCTTTCAATCTGCATAAAAATTACAGCTGAACACGGACACTAGTTAAGTAGTTAAAAGCGTTTCTCCCATTACTACTTGCCAGTGGCCGAATTTGTTTTAAAATAAACTGATTCATGATACAGGGAGCAAAATGAGACGCACCTTTTGTGTGTGAGGATGCGTTTTACTCACAAACAATACCGTTCACAAAGGTTAAGTACAAAATAGTGTTACTTTCAATAATAAAAATTAATTTTACACCGCATGTAAAATATATATACGACTGACTGAACGGTTTGTATTATTTTAAACACCTTGCATGCGTTAAAACACAAACCTTTTTTTCTGCAGAATGATGCGGGACCGCGGTGCAGCCTTATGACGTCATGTCGCCTGTGCAAAATAAAAGTTCTGTTCACACGCCACTGGCCCTGTCCCAAATCGCACCCTAAGGCCCTGTCCCAAATCGCACCCTAAGGCCCTGTCCCAAATGGAAGACTTAGTGTGCACTTGCGGTCTTACAATGGCCGCCGTGTGCGCGTGTCCACGAGACCGTAGGGTGTCCCATTCGTCATTTTAGTGTTCAAAAGGGTGCTCGCGAGCGCCCCCTATGCGCACTTCTGCTGAGCCCGTTCGCGAGCACCCTTCTGAAAGCTAAAATGACGAATGGGACACTCTACGCCTACGGTCTCGTGGACTTAACCATTGTAAGACCGCAAATGCACAAGTGTGCCATTTGGGACAGGACCACTGTCAAAAACGTGAATAGAAATACACATACAAAATATAATACGTAAAATGTCAGGGGAATTCAAAGTTTATTTATTGGTGAAATGCCTATTTTGTCCAGTGCTGTTCTGAAAATATAAATACTAACAGTGGAAGAGTGTGACATTCTGTTCTTTAAAGACTGTAATGTTTCACTGCAGAAATCATACCAGGGCTCAGGAGTTTTTTCTCACAGCCATTTTGCCCCTATCAGTCTAGTTTGACATATTTCCACTAGATCCATAGCAAAAACTGTTTACTACTGTACAAAAAAAAACAGGTTTGCCAATAAAATAGTATTAGGCTATTTTAAAAACAAATATGCAACAGTGGTAACGTGTTGAAGTAGGTTATTAATGCACAATTCATACAAAGTTTGGAAAATGCTCGACGATATGCGCAATAAGGTTGGAAATGTGCTTGAATGTAAAAAATTGTCCTTGCCAAATTTCCTTTTTTTATTTTTTTTTTTAGAATGCCGAGTGTGGCGTATATATATCTCCAAACAGTACCACTGCTCCCTATACGCAGAGTACGCAGTTTGCGTAGAGCACCAACTCCTAGGGGGGCACCATCCTAGTTGCTCAAAAAGAAAAAAAGTGCCATATTTTTTACTTTTGTTCTATTTTTTTGTTTTTGTTTGTTTGAATCTCTCAACATTTTACAACAGTAGCCAGGTGGTGAAGACAAGAAGAAGAAAAAACCTGCGACGTCACTTGCAATCGACACAAATCGTGCGTGTTGCCAACGGAGACAAGACGCTGTGGTGCTTAAACGATTAAAAGTAATTTAGTACCGTAACGTCCTGCAAGTCATCTGTAGGAGAAAAAGACAAGACCCGCAAATCCGTGGCCACAGAACAGCAGAATATAAACGCAATGCGCAAAGTCTCCCATTAAGCGTTTTCCTCCTGTAGAAAAACATAAACACTTAATATGGCTTAATGTATTAAGATACTATTAAAATATCAAATTCAATATACAGTATATTAATATAATGAATATGTATATAGTATTTTCCTCCCAATATAGCCTACATAACTAATATACAGGCAAGCAGGTGAGCCCAGAATAAACGCAACACGCAAAGTTTCGCGTTAAGCGTTTTTCCATATAGAATAAACTGTCTACAGCTCTTTTATATCATTGTCTTTGTCCATTAAGCTACATTACGTGTTTTATTTATAATGATTTATGGGAGGAAAATGTTTAACGTGCAATTTAACGCATTGTGTTCTGGGCTCGTCTGCTTGCCTGTATGGGGTTGATCCTTTTAATATCACTTAATGCATTTCATAATGCACGTTCATTTTTGCTGGTCTGTAACGTTATATACTTTGAATCAACAACAAGACATATAGGCTACTG